CGCAGGAGACTTTTGTGCTCCAGTGGTGCAGGATCCCAAAGTCTCCCTCCCAAAATCACAGCTCCCTGCTTCATACCTCGAAACCAACCACCATAGAGATCCAGATATATCTTCTTACAACTCAGGCTGATTTCTTGGGTGTTCAGAGTGGTCTGGTAGATATCCAGCTCAGTTCAAGGGACTGGTTGGAATAGGGTCCCCTACTTCTCCACCATCCTTTAGGGGAGATTTGAGTTCTATTTTACAAATTTGGGAGAGGTAGTTAGGGACAGGGAGTGGGGAAATATGTAAGGCAGGGTCTTTTACAAAACCTATAAGGCCAGAGTCATGAGGTTCACCAGGGAGCAGAATGGAGTGGCGTGGAGACCTCAGGGGTTGATCTTGGAAAGGGATCTGGTAGCTTCTTTCTGCAGGAGAGAAAAGTTGGAGGGGAGATCTGCAGTGAGGCCATAGAGGTGAAGACTGGGTGGTGGATTAGAGGAGGACTAAAGAAGTTAATTCAGTGCCATTGGAGGATGGATTGACCTGGGGCAGGAAGTCAAGGGAGGCAAAGAATGGAGTCAAGGAGAACTTTGATTTTAGCTCAGTATACTGAGTGATGAAACCACCAACTCAGATAGGAAATATCAAAGGAGAACTGGGTTTTTAGGATTGTTGAAGAGTTTATTTTGGAGACTATTGAGTTTTTGGTGCTTATGAGGCATGAGGTAGGGATGTCTAGGTGGAAATCTGGTTTAAAACTACAGGAGTGGATGATTTCATCGAAGAAGAAGAAGAAGATACAAAATGAGTCTGCATGAGTGTGCAGAGCGGGGCATGAGTGTGCATGGTGGGGCATGAGTGTGTATGATGAGGCTGAGGTAGTGAAGACCACAGACAAATAAAAAGTATGGCTCTGTGGGAGCAGAGGAGGAGAGAAGATAAGAAGTGTGGGCAGATGTTTCAGAAATAGAAGAAGCAAACCAAATGTGAACTCACCCCATGACAGACTTCTGAGTGGTTATTTTTATTCCAATTATTGAATGCCAATAGCAACTATTTTTCATGATATATTAGAAAGAAAATTTGCTGAAATTGCTTTCCCATCTTGTGAATGGTGTTTTGGGTAACAAGTCTTTATATATTAATTTTCCAAGAGAAATTTGATAGTGAAGAAGAAACCAAAGTAACTCAAATCTGTGAACTTCTAAAAGTGCACTCTTAGAAAAATAACTGAATGCAGTCTTACTAACTTCCAACTCTGTACTTTTTTCCCCATGATCAGAAGTATTCAGCGGCATCTGGGTGGCTCAGATGGTTGGCTCAGGTCATGATCGCAGGGTCCTGGGATTGAGTCCCATGTCGGGCTCCCTGCTCATTGGGGAGCCTGCTTCTTCTTCTCCCTCTACTGCCCGCCCCCCGCCTGTGCTCTCTCACTTTCTCTGTCAAATAAATAAATAAAATCTTTTAAAAAAAAGTATTTAGAGACTATTTTAAAGAAAGAAACAAATACAACAGATGGAGACGGGGGGTGGGGGGGAGGCTTTATCTTTCTAAGGAACAAATTCTTTCAAGGAGATGTAGCTTTTTTTTTTTTAATTCCTTTCAAGATAAGGCATTTGCTCTTTAAAGAGTAGTCTCTTTTATGCCTGTGGTTCTTTTGGCTCTGGGTTGAGAGGATATTTTGTGGAAGAGAATGCTGTTTGATAGTTCCATCTTGGAGCAAAGAGAAGACTGTTACATCACCTTCTCCCTTTGCTAATTTTTAGAGAGTAACACATAAATCCTAAGTGCACTTTCATTTCTAAGGGTCCCATTTGCATCAACTGTTCACTCCGGAAGGCTTCTTTCATATACATCCTTGGCAGATCCAGCATCTCAGGTCTCCCTGTCTCTTTTTGACTCCGTCCCATTTTTGTTGGAATCTTTCTAATTAGTGATTCAGTTTTCCAGATATTTCACAACATTTTCCATCCATATTTTTTTTTCCTTTTTGCCCCATATTACACACATAGAATGGAGAATGGGTAGTTCTCCCATCTTCTTACCCTTGCCCATATAAGATTATTTTAATTCGGTCTTCTTCTTCTCATTGGCTGCAGTCAGAAGATATTCCCAGGGCTGAATTTCAGAGTTATTTAGTGGTATGTTTAAAGAGGAATGCTAAGATCAACTTCTACGTGTCTGTTGGGAATGGCATAACCAGACGATGAATTGAAATCACTGCTTCCAGAGGGATTAAAGAAATATTCTTTCAACTGCAAAATTTTGCATAATTGTTTTATCTGTTGGTATCCTGGATTTTTCGGTTGACAGCAATCAACTTGGACTTGTAACTTGAGTTAAGAGATATGCCCTTTGTTCAGGCAATTTCCAGTGTAGTGATTGGAGAGAGAGAGACTTCAGATCAAATCTTGCTTGAACTTAATTTGAATTCCTTAGGATTCAATTTTCCTATTTTCAGAATACGATGCTAATACCTGCATTGAGTGAGTTCCTGGATGCTGAGGAGCTGGCACCCCTCACCTCCATGAAAGCTCGCCGCTTACACCCTCAGCTTCATTGGCATCACCATGACTGTTCTCTACAGCCATTTCAAAGACTTCCCTCAGGGTTTTTGGTCTATGAGTGGCCTTCCCAGCACCTCACTTCTGTACTGAAACTGTTTTGATATAAGGAATTTGTTTATCTGTTTGTTTTAGAAGTGGCTGGAGGTTTATAGGGAGGGAGTCCAGTAACTTAAGAGTCTGTCCGCATTTGATATAATAGGTACCTTTTTTCCTCTGGATTTAGACTAGATATACCATTTACCTATTGCTGTTTAAGAAACTACCCCAAACTTAACAGCTTAAGACAACCAACACTTCTTATCTTAAAATTACTGTGGGTCAGGGATTCAAGACCATCTTATCTGAGTGTCTCTGGCTCGTGGTCTGTCAGTGTCAGCCGGGGCTACATCATCAGAAGGTTCAACTAGGGATGAAGACTCTGTGCATCCAAGCTCCCTCATGTGGTTGTGGGCAAGACACCTCAGCTCCTTGTGGGCTGTTGGCGATCTGCTGGGGAGGAACCTTGGTGGCTCACCACATGGACCTCTCCTTAGGGCTGCTTAGGTGTCCTCACAGCATGGCGGCTGTCTTTCCCCAGAGCAGTGATCCAAAGGAAAGCCAGCAAGAAGCCACAACACCTTTTACAACCCGATCTCAGAAGTCTCACACCATGATTTCTGCCACATTCTATTCGATCAAGTCCCTTGGAATTAGGCACCACCCCTTCTTCCCCTCCCCCTCCTCCTTTTTGCCTCCATTCCTCCGCTCTCCTTCCTTTTCCTCTCTCCTCTGCCCTTGCTGTACCTCACTTTCCTATTTTAGCAAACAGAGGTCACCTTTTGCCTGCTTGGGTTATCATGAAACTAGAGTGAGATGAACAGGATGAACAGGTGGCTTTGGAGGAGAGTTTAAGCATACCGTGTAACAGCACCATGTGCCCTGACCTCGGACAAAGGTGGTGTGTCTGTTGAGTTTCTGTTCTTGCATCTGAGGGAGCTGGTCCATCCCAGAGGCAGTTTAGTCAAAGCACAGGGTCCTCAGGTGGGTGCTCTCTGACCAGGAATCTACTCAGGATCGGCCCTCCCTTCTCCTGGGGAAGCATTACCAGGCATCACGTCAGAAACAGCAGAGTGGGTTTGTGTGCTCCTTCTCAGATTGCAGGGGCAGGTCCGGAAGTTCTCCTTCAGATCCTTTGGTTTACTGGCTATTTACTCGTAAGGAAAGCAGTATTTGGACAAATTTCCTCATTAGATGCCTACCCACCTCCCTCCCGCAGGCCCCCCCAGGCCCCATATTTCTGGTGCAGAAGTCTCAGGATCTTCGGAAGCAAAAGAACTTTGGGACTTGAGGGCTGCTGTTTACTTTTATATCTGGATTCTTTTTCTCCAGTAACTGTGATTCACTATGATTATCTCTAAGTTAATCCAGGGGCCCCAATGAAGCAGGGAGTCAGTGAGCTTAGCAGGGTCCTGCCTGTTCTCTTTCTCAGGCTCACTCCATCATCCACACCCCAGTGCATTCCTCTATCCCACGTGCTTCACACTGGACCTATCTCCCTTGGCCTGACCCATTACCTTTAGGAAGGTGGTTTTAAATGCTGGTCACTGAACATGTCCCCACACAGGTTTTTGACTCTCAGAAGTTACATGCGTGGAAGAAAGAGAAGTGCGGTATGTTCTTGCTTCAACCCTGCAGATAATCCATCACATTCCAGCTCTGGGGAGGGTCTCTATCCAGAAAGCTGGAGGTGAAGGATACCAAGAATTCTTGAACTGCATGTTCTCCCCATTTGTGGTCATCCCTTGCATTCTAGTCATTGCATTTATGGGTTAGAGAATCATCTCCTAGCTCAAGATTTTAAGAGAAGCTTCAGGTTGGGGGTATAGGAGTTTGGAAACACTGTTTTTTGTTACCTTAGTTTTAAAAGCCACACTCCCTCTTGTAATGAGTTCTTAGTTTATTGACCACTCTCTGAAGCTAAAAGATGCACATCACTTTGTACAGAAGGACAGGAGTTTGCCCAGTTAAGCCTATCTTGGTTTCAGTATTCACTGAGGATGCACAATGGAATTTGCCATAATTTACAGGGAACTCCCACAGTACATGGGTCTTCTGGTGTGCTGGGTCTAGCTGACTGACAGCCTCTGGTGACCTCTTCATTCGTCCTGTGCTACATGTCCTTGAGCTGGAAATCTGTGCCCCCGATTTAATCACAAATCAGCCAGCTATGGGGTCGATATCAAGCCTCTGCCCAGTAAACAATGTGCAAATGAAGAAAGTAAAATAAACGATATGCAAATTAACTTTCTAAGTAAGTGAAAGACTTTGCCTCCAGGTCTCCTGATTAACTACTTTTCCTCCACTGATGTTTTTTAGGATGCACAGTGATTTGAAAAATATCATGGTCACAGCCCTTGTCTCAATGCTTGCTTTTTTCTTTCTTTCTTTCTTTTTTTGTCTTGTCTGTTTCAGATATACCAACACTCCTACACTGGATATTATGTCCTGAGCAAAATTCCTCATGGGTAAGATTATTCTTTCATTTTCTTTTAATGAGAAATACTCAGAACAAAGAAAGGGTAGAACCCTGAGTGGTTGCTTAATTCATAGAATTAAGGGCAGGAAATGGGGCAGCTTGATTCTGACCGTGAAGTCCCCTGTTGTTGTAGGGCCTCCCTGGCTCCCCCCTGGCTAACTGTATCCAGCTTCTAGGGGGTCCCATGAATCTGGTTACTTGCCCATTTGTGAAGCCCCCCATCCTAGAACAAAGCCACTTATCTCCTGTTCCGGTTGCCAAGGTTTCCCCTTGAGGTCCTGCAGGGCAGGACTATCTCCCCACCCCCCTGCCCTGTAATCAGCTGTGGCCCTCCCGGGTACAGGGGTGGGGAGTGGGGGGGGTAGCCCCAGGACTCCCACAGTGTTCTGGTTATCTCCATAATAGAGTGGCACCGCTAAGCTCATCCGGTCTCTCAAAAATGCATGATTTGGGGCCCAAACCTGTGTGGGGGAAGGACAGACATGAGAGCATGCATGATTCTATAAGGCTTTCGGTGTTGGGTAGCTATACTCACACACAGCACAGGGGTGCGTTATCAGGAGCTCAACTCTGGAGTCCAGAGGCAGCAAAAGACTGGTTAAAGTTTGCTGAAGCCATTTGTTGAGTCAGACACATGGAGAAGGGCTGCTGAACGAGGAATGAGAGGCAGGGATGGCTTTCTGTTTCTCTCCCATCCTCCCCCGTCCCCTCCGCCTCTCCCCTCCCCCACCCCCCTGGGGCTTCTTCCACAATCCTTTGGAAAGGGCAGGGGCTCTGGAAATGCTATGGCTGGTGTTGTATGGATTGTCTATGAATAGTTGAGGGAGGCATCCTCATTTTCCTGAATTTAAACAAGCAGCAGGAATTGCTGAAAAGTATTGTTTAATAGGAGAGCATGAACCAGCAACATGGATGTTTACAACTGTGTCCATCTGCTTTCTACTAAGTTTAAGTAGAACATGGGCATCTCTTTGGAAAACAAACGTGGAGAAAATAATTTCATTTGGCCTTCAGACAAAGGAGAGATGTATGTAGATATGCAGCAACATGAGATTAACAGTTTCTGTGAGATGAGTAGACAAATCAAGGTCAAAGAAACTTAAGATGAGCCGCTGTGGTAAAAACGAAGTATCCATAGGAATTTTTCATTTAAAGCATATTTTAAATATAAACTCAGATGTTTTCCACTAAGGAGGAATTATTCTCTTATTTTTTCAAGCAGATCTGCATCTTCAAAGCTCACGGCAGGCAGGAGTATGATTAAGCCTTGAGATTTATGTGCCCATTGTAGGACAATGGAATGTATTATAGGTGACAGATATTTTTGTTCCATCTTCTATATATTTGTAAAACTCAGAGCTGTAAAAGCATCTGATGCTCAATACATTGTGTTAATACTTGACTGCATCAGTCAGAGTTTAGAAAAAGTAGATTTGGACAACCTGACCTAAGCCAGCTGCAAACCAGAGGACAAGATGGTCTGTGTTCACGACTTGTTCTCAGTGTTGATGATGATGATGATGATCCCCCCATAGAGAATGTCAACATATAACGGGCTGCCTTCGGTTTTTTTTAAATCATCACAGTAATAATAATTGCCATCATTTATAAATTGACTTTCATGCACCTACACCCCAGCAGAGTAGCCTGCAAGAAAAGCATCCCTACCCGCATTTACAGTGAGAGCTGTAAGGCATAGCTGCCCTGCATCTCCTAGCTCACGTACAGCCTGGCTGACTCCGAACCCCGTGCTCTCAAGACAACCCCTTGAGTTACGTTAGAGCTGTAAAGATCAGACTTAGTGGTGCTAAAATATTTCTTTTCTGAGGACTATTATACGACTGAAAGATGTAGCAGATGACTCGTTACGTTTACTGGTAAAGAACCCTGGGTGGACGAGAAGGTCTGTGGCCGTCCCAACACCCTGTGCACCGACGTAGCATCTCCAAAGCTGGCAGTGCTTGACCAACCACCTCTCCCTCTTTGTTACGATCGTTTATGGAAAATGAATCAGTTCATTTCATGTATTGTCAACATCTAATCTGTATTAATGAGACCATGGTTGAGGCTTCAGGCCTCAGGTTTCTGCAGCTTCAGTGACAACTCCAGCAGTCACCTGAGCAGGCGCTCCACCGGATGACAGGAGAAGGACGCAGCCCACATTCTAAGGCTTGTGTCCACGTAGATTTGGGGTAGAGAGGAAAGCGCAACTGTGTTTTTAAAACAAAAATAAGTCTGTGTTAAGTTATCGGGATTTACATTACCTATCATACCAAAAACGAAGAGCTTTCCTTGGTGCTTCTGAAGACACACATCTGTACATTTCTCCCAATTTCTCACTTCTCTTTCCTCACTTGTCCCCTAAAGACTTCACTGTAAGCCCGAGGCTGTTCGAGCTACAGGATGGGATTAGTTGTCATTTATAACTTGAATGTTGTGTTGGCTTCAGGCTTTCCAACCCATCACGGAGAAGGGTTGAATTAATTTTTCAGTGCCGTCTGAATCTGGTTTCCTTCCTTTTTGCCAGTGGCAGAAGAATTCAAGGAAGGGTATACCCTTTCTACGGTGTGGTTCACGAGCCAGGAGAGGCCCTCCCTGTCCCGTGCTCTCACTTCCTCCTTCAGAGTTTGGACCTCTGTCTGAGGTGGGAGCCAAGCCCCGTCCTTCTGCACACACTGGCTAGGGTTGTAATGAGAATCCCAAGGTAGCAGGGTTTTCATCTATGCAAAGATCTAAAACCGAAGGGAAAATTTGTTTGACTTCCACATACTAAATGTTCAAAAAGTGTATTCTTAAAAGACATGTATCTTTTACACAAATCTGTTTGCTAAGGCAGATTTAAAGCTAGTCATTCTTAACATAAAATGTTTCACTAAGTTTTTATATCAGAAAATCAGCAAAATAAAACCATCTTCTTTAATAGAGATTATAGCCAGTTAAACATTTTCTATTAAGGACGCATCATATGAGTGTTTTCATGAAGTATTTTTGTAGACTTAGCTGCTTCTTGACATTTTCCTGACATAACTTTTTTCTGGAATGAATTTTTTCTTTGGCTTGAGTGCTTTTTTAAAAATATATATATTTCTGTATGATTATAATTTCTCATATTTATTAGGATCGTCCTGAAGATCATATGGACTGGTGAAAATGATTCCTCTTATAACATAAATCTATTTTAAGGAAAATCTGGCATATCTCTTAATTGGGAGGCATTGGCAATGTGGGGTTTAGCAAACAAAGTAATAACAAATTAAATATTATTAGACTTTACTTCCTAGCCAGCTGAAATCCTTTCTGTTACAGGGAGGGGAATGATACAACCCCTATAACAATAAAATTCTCAAAGCTAAGGCTTGTTCCATGACACTTGGGTAATTATAATGCCCATGTGATGGATGTTTTAATGTCTGTCTTAAAAGAAATGTCTGTAGCCTCAACTATCTATAATTCTCAGTGCTCAGTGCATTCTTTTTTATATCATCTCAATTAGACCTACCACAATTAATATTTAAGACATTCTTGTTTTGCCTCCAGTGGAAGCAAACAAGACAATATAAGTCAATGAGTATTTATTGAAATGCTCCATTGAGTAACAAAAGCATGGTTGCCATCCTTAAGAAGTTCAAAATCCTGTTGAAAAGAAAAGACACAGACTCTGTAACATCATAAAATCAAGTGGCCCAAGTGACTATTTTATTTTATTTATTTTATTTTTATTTTTATTTTTTAAAGATTTTATTTATTTATTTGACAGAGACAGCGAGAGCAGGAACTCAAGCAGGGGGAGTGGGAGAGGGAGAAGTAGGCTTCCCGCTGAGCAGGGAGCCCGATGTGGGACTCGATCCCAGGACTCTGGGATCATGACCTGAGCCGAAGGCAGACGCTTAACGACTGAGCCACCCAGGCGCCCCCAAGTGACTATTTTAAACACTGAACTCAGAAGAGAAAGCTGTGGGCATCAGGTCTCATAAAGGAAGTCTGGCTGCAGCTGAGTCTCAAGAGTTGAACAAGTTATTTTTAATAGATGGAGACATAGAGCAGATATTCCAGATCGGGAAGGTCATTAAACAGACTTGACCTTTGCAATGAGCCAGCATCTTCTGGAATTAGTAGAGTTCTAGGCCAGGCCACAGCAGGGGTGCTCCCATGGGGCTCTGCGTGGGTAGAGATGGGGTTGGGTGGGTTTTAGGATAGGCCTGCAGTGCAGGGAACCTAAACACTGCCTCGTGTGGTGAGTCTTTACAGTAAGAACACAGGGATCCTTTAGAGCAGTTGTGTTGAAAATGGCAGGCCTGAGTGAGTTTTCACACATATATAGGAGGGAAGGGAGGTTTGGAGCATGGATTCAATTAGGAGGCCTGGTGGAGAGTAATGAAGGCTTGGAATGTGGCAGAGCCCAGTCTGTGTAGAAACCACACTCAGACTGATGACAGGTAGCTGGTGTTCTCCTGGAAAATGAAGACAGATTTTCAGTGTTAATTCCATGTCCCTCTAATTAAATCTTTGGGGCAGCCTGTGGTCCTGTTGTGAGCTGAGCCTGGTGCATGAGAAGATTCAAAATAGTGAGTTCACGAGGGCAGCAGTGAGAATTCTCAGCACGCCTCAGTGCCTCTGTGGCTCACATTTCCTCCCTGGCCTTTTTCTCATGGATCTCTGGGGGGCCCTGCCGCTGGCCCTTCCAGGCAGACACACGCTGGCTCTCTCGAGCCAGCTACCTTCACAGCTGCCAGAATATGCATGAATAGGATTGTTAGTATAATGTTCTAATGTGAAGAAATGTAAAATGTAGAAGAAAGTGATGTCCTTAAAATATCGCTTTGCATGTCTCTACCACGGCATCGAGAGGGGAGAATCCCAGTGTTGCTGACTTTCACACATTTTCAGAACCGTGGACAGCTTAGAGGTCTACACTGGACTCACTCTAGCTGCTTCTCTCTGTCCTTCCTTCTCCCTTATCCTCCAATCCTCCTTCCCTTTCTCCCTTCC